CTTGTGTAGTTTTAGTCTTTTTATCGCTTTTGTTAATTCTTGAGCGGTAATTGTATTTGTTAAAGTTCTATTTTGTTCTTCTGAGATTATTGGTAGTTTTAGTTTGTCTAACAATGTTTTAGTCAAATCTTTTTCATCCTCTTGTTTTAAGGAATAGAGCTTTTGATAATACCTTGCAAAACACTCTCCAATTTCTTTCTGTTCGTAGATTACTTCCTTCGTTGATGGTTTTCTTATTTTATATATGGCTCTTTCAGCTTGCTGTTTTTTCAATCTATATGCTAGAGTTTTGGCTGATTTACTTCCTGCTTCATAATAGTTTTGTTTTAAATATATGAGCTTTTTATTTATATGAATTTCTAGTTCTTGGTTTATTTCCTTTTTAATTTTCCTGATCTTCTGCAAAGCATCATCATCTTGTTTTAATTTATGTTGGTCTTCCAATACACGTAGTTGTAGTTCCAAATTTCTAATTTTTTCTTGCCGTTTTCTTTTCAGTAATGTGGCTTTTGCAATCAGTTTACCCCTCAGAACCGCTTTACACGCATCCCACAATATTTCTGGAGAAACATTGTCCTTATCATTATCTTCGATATATCTCCTGATTTCTTCTTTTATTTCTTCCTTAATTTCCCCTTTGAGTAAACTTGAATTTAGTCTCCAGAGGAATGGTGCTTTTGTCTTGTCGGTGCAAATTTTCATATACACAGGGCTGTGGTCCGAGACGTCCATTGATCCAAAATGACATTCTTTTACCCTTTTTATATCCTTTTTAAACATAAAGAAATAGTCAAGTCTTGAGTAGGAACGATGGGTTGCGGAGTAAAATGTATAATCTTTTTGTTGTGGGTGATATTCGCGCCACACGTCAGATATTCCCATTTCCCTCATGAATTTTCCGATTTTTTTTCCCTATGTTGTTGTGTGAGATTTGTGCCGAGGAGTCCAGTAAAGGGTTTAGTCTTACATTAAAATCCCCTCCACAAATCATGACACCTTGTGTTTTGGTTATCATCAAATCCAATATACGCTTATAGAAATACCATTGTGAGCCTGGAGGTGTGTAAACATTGAAGAGGGTGACATCTAAGCCATCAAGTTTACCAATTATCATGCTATATCGACCCTCTTTATCTGTATATTCAGACAGTTTTTCAAAAGCAAACTTGTTGGAAATTAACGTAGCTACTCCTCTTTTACGCCCTGATCTATGTGATGCGTAGAAAACCTGACCAAAACCTTGCCGCCTCAATTTCTCGTGTTCTTTATCTGATAAATGGGTCTCTTGTAAGAATACCACATCTACATTTTCTGTTTTCATTTTCCCCAGTATCTTGGTTCTTTTGATTGGATTCAACACTCCCTTTATATTATATGTACAAATACGTAAAAGAGCTGGAGAAGCCATTTTTGCATATATTTTAACTAACATCTCTTAATAAGTGATTCCCTGTGCTACTCGAACATAAGAAAACAATGAACAGTTTGAACAATTGAACTTTTTTCATCACATTAACATGTGTCCACCTTGAAGTGACTTCCTTCTCGGTGGTCTCTGTGAAGACCACACGGTTGGTGTTGAGATGAATCATGAGCAAATTAGAGGGAAAGTCCTCACAACCTGGAGGTCGCGAGGGGCCCTCTGGTGGCGGTACCTGTTTGGTGCAGTGCATCGCACTGTTATCCCGTAGTCCCCGATATTTCCTCTTAAAAACAAAAGAATATTCCTCTCACTCCTCCCTCTTAATGTGAGAAATTTGTCGCGTCGATGTGGACACAGTTTTTCTTATTCCCTCCGGAAAGCCTCTAGTTTTTTCTTGTATCCAGCCTTGGGTCCCTCGCCGCTCCTCTCGTCTTCCGCTCGTCCCGCTTTCTGCCACATCGTGTCTCTGATCTTGTCGGCCCAGGATGCGTCGGGCTTCAGAACTGTTACAGGTAAACCCCGTCTGGCCATGTCTTTTGTCGCGTCCGCTGCAGATGCGTAGATCCTCGTGTCGCCCTCATAGAAAACTTTCAGTTTTGCCGGGTACGGTGTTTGGAACCTTATCTTGTTTTCTCTCAAAACTCTTTTCGCTTCTGTGTATTCACGGCGTTTTTTCAGTATATCCGGGGCGTAGTCGTGGTCCACCATCACCTTTTTTTTCCCCAGCGTTAGTCCTCTTCTTTGCCACACTTGTTTGAAAACTTCCTCTTTTGTTTTGTATGAGGCGAATTTAACCACTATTGACCGCGGTGTTGCTTCGGGCGGCGGCTTCGGCCCGGGAGAGCGGTGTCCTCGCTCTATGGTCAAGTCCAGCGTCGGCGGGAGGGTTAAATTCTCTCTGAGCAAAGTCGTGACAAAGTCCTAGACTGATGGAGAGCCATCCTCCGCCCCCTCCGGAATGAAATGAAAGCGAACATTTTCACGTCTGGATCTTGATTCCAAGTCCATGATTTTTGCTTGAAGTTCCTCTTGCACCTTAACAAGCTCAAGTGTTGCTTCCTCGATGTGTTGTGTTCTGTCTTCAACCTCCGCAATGCGCTTTTCTGCATCATCAAGTCTCTTATCAACTCTCTCTTTCAGTTCGCGGAAGTTTTGGTCATTTTCACGACGTGAGTGTCTGAGCTCACGGAGGATAGTTTGGAGATTTACTGTTTCTTCGTCTGCTTCCAGCGGCTCCATGTGGAGCGCCTCTGTCTCTGAGAAGCTAGCATAGCATCTCTGCTCTTGTCCTCTTCATTCAATGAATCATGTCTTGACTTGGTAAAGTGTTCCGTGGTTTAGTTTTAAGCTTGTTTCTGACTTTATCTTTCATTCTTGAGCAGAAGATATAGGAAAGAAAAACTCAATTTAACGAGGGAGGATAAAATAACCACATTATCAGGAGCGCCACGAGGTTAAGCTGCCGCCATCTTGGTTGCTCACCCGGAAGTCGCAAAAACTAAACTCTTGAATTAGTTTTCATTTATTTCTCAAACAAAAGACTCAGTGGAGAAGAGACTTTTCCTCCTAATCGCTCAGAAACATAAAACCAACGTGAAACACCAACACGAGGCGTTGGTCAGACTTTGTCCTGCTGAGTCGCTGCTTTTGGAGCTCGTGATCTTCACGCGTCGGAGGATTTTGACCCGAGGTCGTCGATGTTATTTAACCAAATAATGGTTGACGAATTAAACTTTTGAGGAGAATGTGACACGGAGAAATGATGTCCGGCACAAATGTAAGACCCAGATTTAAAAATTCTAAACTTTTTCAAGTGTTTTCAAGATTTTATCACCAAATTCATAAAGTCAAAGCTCTTAAGACTTTTTAAAACACCGCGGGAACTAAAGGTAAAAGGAGCTATTCACTTGATGACATCACGAGGTGGAGCAGAGCGTTTCAGAGAGTTCCTCAAACACGTGTGAGTCTGAGTTTGAGGAGGAACAGCAGAAGTTGGACTCACCCATCTCTGGAGACAGCTCTGCGTCCTGATTGGCCGGCGCGGCCCGTCGCCCCGCCCCCCTCCGGTCCAGGATGCCTCCGATTGGCTGAGAGGAGCGGCTGTGGGAGGAGCCCAGGTGGAAGTAGAGGAGGAGGAGGAGCGACCAGGTGACGGAGGAGAGGAGGCAACCGTAACAGAAGAACCTGAGAGTCACCGACATCCTGAGGAGGAGCTCACGCCAGCCTGCATCCTCCAGCTGAAGAACGAGAAGAACGAGAAGAATGAGGAGAACGAGGAGAACGAGAAGAACGAGAAGAACGAGAAGAACGAGGAGAACGAGGAGAACGAGAGAACGAGGAGAACGAGAGAGAAGAACGAAGAGAACGAGGAGAACGAGGAGAACGAGGAGAACGAAGAGAGAACGAGAAGAACGAGAAGAACGAGAAGAACGAGGAGAACGAGAGAACGAGAGAACGAGGAGAACGAGAAGAACGAGAAGAACGAGAGAACGAGAGAACGAGGAGAGACGAGAACGAGAACGAGGAGAACGAGGAGAACGAGGAGAACGAGGAGAACGAGGAGAACGAGGAGAACGAGAAGAACGAGAAGAACGAGGAGAACGAGGAAGAACGAGAAGAACGAGGAGAACGAGGAGAACGAGGAGAACGAGGAGAACGAGGAGAACGAGGAGAACGAGAACGAGAAGAACGAGGAGAACGAGGAGAACGAGGAGAACGAGAAGAACGAGGAGAACGAGAAGAACGAGGAGAACGAGGAGAACGAGGAGAACGAGAAGAACGAGGAGAACGAGGAGAACGAGGAGAACGAGAAGAACGAGAAGAACGAGAGAACGAGAAGAACGAGGAGAACGAGAAGAACGAGGAGAACGAGGAGAACGAGGAGAACGAGGAGAACGAGAAGAACGAGAGGGATGAGAGGAGGTCTGTGTCATGTCCTCCACAGCAGACAGGAGACTGACAGGAGACTGACAGGAGACTGACAGGTGACTGACAGACTGACAGGAGACTGACAGTGACTGACAGGACTGACAGGAGACTGACAGGAGACTGACAGGAGACTGACAGGTGACTGACAGGTGACTGACAGGAGACTGACAGGTGACTGACAGGTGACTGGCAGGTGATTGACAGGTGACTGACAGGTAATTGACAGGTGACTGACAGGTGATTGACAGGTGACTGGCAGGTGATTGACAGGTGACTGGCAGGTGATTGACAGGTGACTGACAGGTGATTGACAGGTGATTGACAGGTGATTGACAGGTGACTGACAGGTGACTGACAGGTGATTGACAGGTGATTGACAGGTGATTGACAGGTGATTGACAGGTGACTGACAGGTGATTGACAGGTGACTGACAGGTGATTGACAGGTGATTGACAGGTGACTGACAGGTGACTGACAGGTGATTGACAGGTGACTGACAGGTGACTGACAGGTGATTGACAGGTGATTGACAGGTGACCTTTGCTCCTGGTTTAAACTTTAAACTTGAACTTTATTAAATTTTAACTTTAACCTGAAGAAAATCAGAACAAACACAGAGAGAGAGAGAGAGAGAGAGAGACTACTACACACTACTACACACTACTACACACTACTACACACTACTACACACTACTACACACTACTACACACTACTACACAGCTACTACACACTACTACACACTACTACACACTACTACACACTACTACACACTACTACACAGCTACTACACACTACTACACACTACTACACACTACTACACACACTACTACACAGTACACACTACTACACACTACTACACACTACTACACACTACTACACACTACTACACACTACTACACAGTACTACACTACTACACTACTACACACTACTACACACTACTACACACTACTACACACTACTACACAGTACTACTACACACAGTACTACACACTACTACACACTACTACACACTACTACACTACTACACACTACTACACACTACTACACACTACTACACACTACTACACACTACTACACACTACTACACACTACTACACAGTACTACACACTACTACACACTACTACACACTACTACACACTACTACACACTACTACACTACTACACACTACTACACACTACTACACACTACTACACACTACTACACACTACTACACACTACTACACAGTACTACACTACTACACACTACTACACAGTACTACACACTACTACACAGTACTACACACTACTACACACTACTACACACTACTACACACTACTACACACTACTACACAGTACTACTACACACTACTACACACTACTACACACTACTACACACTACTACACAGACACACTACTACACACTACTACACACTACTACACACTACACACTACACACTACTACACTACTACTACACACTACTACACACTACACACTACTACACAGCTACTACACACTACTACACAGCACTACTACACACTACTACACAGTACTACACACTACACTACTACACACAGTACTACACACTACTACTACACACTACTACACACTACTACACACTACTACACAGCACTACTACTACTACACACTACTACACACTACTACACACTACTACACACTACTACACACTACTACACAGTACTACACACTACTACACACTACTACACACTACTACACACTACTACACACTACTACACACTACTACACACTACTACACACTACTACACACTACTACACACTACTACACACTACTACACACTACTACACAAATACTACACACTACTACACACTACTACACACTACTACACACTACTACACACTACTACTACTACACACTACTACTACACACTACTACACTACTACTACTACACACAGTACTACTACTACACACTACTACACACTACTACACAGTACTACACACTACTACACACTACTACACACTACACACTACTACACACTACACTACACTACACAACTACTACACACTACTACACACTACTACACACTACTACTACACAGCACTACTACACACTACTACACACTACTACACACTACTACACACTACACACTACACACTACTACACACTACTACACACTACTACACAGTACTACTACACACTACTACACACTACTACACACTACACTACTACACACTACTACACAGTACTACACTACTACACACTACTACACACTACTACTACACTACTACTACACACTACTACACTACTACACACTACTACACACTACTACACACTACTACACACTACTACACACTACTACACACTACTACACACTACTACACAGTACTACACACAGTACTACACACAGTACTACACTACTACACACAGTACTACACACTACTACACACTACTACACACTACTACACAGTACTACACACTACTACACACTACTACACAGTACTACACACTACTACACAGTACTACACACTACTACACACTACTACACACTACTACACAGTACTACACACTACTACACACTACTACACACTACTACACACTACTACACACTACTACACAGTACTACACACTACTACACACTACTACACACTACTACACACTACTACACAGTACTACACACTACTACACAGTACTACACACTACTACACACTACTACACAGTACTACACACTACTACTACACACACTACTACACACTACACACTACTACACACTACTACACACTACTACACTACTACACTACTACTACACACTACTACACACTACTACACACTACTACACACTACTACACTACTACACACTACTACACACAGTACTACACACTACTACACACAGTACTACACACTACTACACACTACTACACACTACTACACTACTACACACTACACACTACACACTACTACACACTACTACACACTACTACACACTACTACACACTACTACACAGTACTACACACTACTACACACTACTACACACTACTACACACTACTACACACTACTACACACAGTACTACACACTACTACACTACACACAGTACTACACAGTACTACACAGTACTACACACTACTACACAGTACTACACACTACTACACACTACTACACACTACTACACACTACTACACACTACTACACACTACACAACTACTACACAGTACTACTACACAGTACTACACACTACTACACACTACTACACAGTACTACACACTACTACACACTACTACACACTACTACACAGTACTACACACTACTACACACTACACAGTACTACACACTACTACACACTACTACACAGTACTACTACACACTACTACACAGTACTACACACTACTACACAGTACTACACACTACTACACACAGTACTACACACTACTACACACTACTACACACACAGTACTACACACTACTACACACTACTACACTACACACTACTACACACACTACTACACACTACTACACAGTACTACACACTACTACACACTACTACACACTACTACACACTACTACACACTACTACACAGTACTACACACTACTACACAGTACTACACACTACTACACACTACTACACACTACTACACACTACTACACACTACTACACAGTACTACACAGTACTACACACTACTACACACTACTACACAGTACTACACAGTACTACACACTACTACACACTACACTACTACACACTACTACACACTACTACACACAGTACTACACACACTACTACACACTACTACACACTACTACTACACAGTACTACTACACACTACTACACACTACTACACACTACTACACAGTACTACACACTACTACACACTACTACACAGTACTACACACTACTACACACTACTACACAGTACTACACACTACTACACACTACTACACAGTACTACACAGTACTACACACTACTACACACTACTACACACTACACACTACACACTACACACTACTACACACAGTACACACTACACACTACTACACTAAACACTACACACATACTACACACTCACTACTACACACTACTACACACACTACTACTACACACTACTACACACTACTACACACTACTACACAGTACTACAGTACTACCACACTACACTACACACTACTACACTACTACACACTACTACACACTACTACACACTACTACACACACTACTACACACTACTACACACACTACAACTACTACACACTACTACACACTACTACACAGTACTACACACTACTACACAGTACTACACACTACTACACACTACTACACACTACTACACACTACTACACACTACTACACACTACTACAGTACTACACTACACTACTACACAGTACTACACACTACTACACACTACACACTACTACACACACTACTACACAGTACTACACACTACTACACACTACTACACAGTACTACACACAGTACTACACACTACTACACACTACTACACAGTACTACACACAGTACTACACACAGTACTACACACTACTACACACTACTACACACTACTACACAGTAACTACACACTACTACACAGTAACTACACACTACACTACACACTACTACTACACACTACTACACACTACACTACACACTACTACACACTACTACACACTACTACACACTACTACACAGTACTACACACACTACTACACACTACTACACAGTACTACACTACTACACACTACACACTACTACACAGTACTACACACTACTACACACTACTACACACTACTACTACACACTACACACTACACACTACTACACAGTACTACACACTACTACACACAGTACTACACACTACTACCACACTACTACACACTACTACACACACACTACTACACTACTACACACTACTACTACACACTACTACACAGACTGGTACTACACAGTACTACACACACTACTACACACACACACAGTACTACACACTACTACAACACTACTACACATACTACTACACTACTACTACACACTACACTACACAGTACACATACTACACACTACTACACAGTACTACACACTACTACACAACTACACTACTACACACACACACACTACTACACCATACACTACTACAACACTACTACACATATACACACTACACAGTACTACACTAACAGATACTACACACACTACACCTACTACCACTACTACACTACAGTACTACACACACTACTACACACACTACACACAGTACTACACACACACTACACTACTACTACTACACAGCTACACACTACTACACTTACTACACACACTACTACACACACTACACTACTACTACAGTACAGTACTACACACTACTACACACTACTACACATACTACACACTACTACACACTACTACTACTACAACACTACTACACACTACTACACACTACACACTACACACTACTACACACTACTACACTACTACACACACACTACTACACACTACTACACAGTACTACACACTACACACACTACTACACAGTACTACACACACTACACACTACACACTACACACTACTACTACAGTACTACACACTACTACACCACACTACACAAGTACACTACACACCTACTACCACACTACTACACAGTACTACCACACACTACACTACACAGTACTACACACTACTACACACTATACACAGTACTACTACCACTACTACACACTACTACTACACAGTACTACACACTACTACACACACTACACACACACACACTACACACACACACAGTACTAAGTACTACACATACTACACTACTCACTACTACTACCAGTACTACACACTACTACACACAGTACTACACAGCATACACACTACTACACACTTACTACTACACTACTACACCACTACTAACACTACTACTACTACACAGTACTACTACACAGAATACTACACATACACACAACTACACACAGATACACTACTACACACTACTACACACTACTACACAGTACACTACTACACACTACACACTACACAGTACTACACAACTACACACTACTACTACACACTACACACACTAACTACTACCACAGTACTACACACTACTACACAGTACTACAACACTACTACACACTACTACACTACTACACACTACTACACACTACTACACAGTACTACACACTACACACTACTACACACACTACTACACTACTACTACACTATACACACTACTACACAGTACTACACACTACTACACACTACTACTACACTACACACTACTACACACTACTACACTAACACACTACTACACACTACTACACTACTACACTACTACACAACTACTACACTACTACACACTACTACACAGTTACTACACACTACTACACACTACTACACACTACACAGTACTACACACTACTAACACAGTACTACACAGTACTACACACTACACTACACACTACTACACACTACTACACACTACTACACAGTACTACACAGTACTACACACTACTACTACCACAGTACACAACTACACACTACACACTACACTACTACACAGTACTACACTACTACACACTACTACACACTACTACACAGTACTACACACTACTACACAGTACTACACACTACTACACTACTACACACTACTACACACTACTACACACTACTACACACACTACTACACACACTACACAGTACTACACACTACTACTACACACTACTACACACTACTACACACTACTACACACTACACACTACTACACAGTACTACACACTACTACACACAGTACTACACAGCTACTACACACACTACTACTACACACTACTACACAGTACTACACACTACTACACACTACTACACAGTACACACACTACACACTACTACACACTACTACACACTACTACACACTACTACACACTACTACACAGTACTACACACTACACACTACAGCTACAACTACTACACACTACTACACACTACTACACACTACTACACACTACTACACAGCACACTACACACTACTACACACTACTACACACTCTACTACTACACAGTACACACTACACACTACTACACACTACTACACACTACTACACAGTACTACACACTACTACACAGTACTACACAGTACTACACACTACTACACAGTACTACTACTACACAGTACTACACAGTACTACACAGTACTACACACTACTACACACTACTACACACTACTACACACTACTACACAGTACTACACACTACTACACAGTACTACACAGTACTACACACACTACACACTACACACTACTACACAGTACTACACAGTACTACTACACAGTACTACTACACAGTACTACACAGTACTTACTACACAGTACTACACCAGTACTACACACAGTACTACACACTACTACACAGTACTACACACTACTACACTACTACACACTACTACACAGTACTACACAGTACTACAGCAGTACTACACAGTACTACACACTACTACACAGTACTACACAGTACTACTGCAGTACTACACAGTACTACACAGTACTACACACTACTACACACTACTACACAGTACTACTGCAGTACTACTGCAGTACTACACAGTATTATAGTACTACACTACTGCAGATTCCTCCTGATAATACACTGTAGTACAGTACTGCACAAGTACATGTTATACTACAAACACACGGGGGTCTGGGGCTGTTGGGTCAGAACCTGACTCGGCTCGGACTCGGCTCGGACTCGGCTCGGACTCGGCTCGGACTCGGCTCGGACTCGGCTCGGACTCGGCTCGTGCTGTTGTAAACACACGGTCTATGGGAGCTACAGGTTTAGCCTCATAACGGGACTTTTAGCTTTAGCATCGCGTCACAAACGCGTTTTTTTGGGTCGATTTCACTTTCAAACTCCGCCGAACTCAAAATGTGACAATAACGCGTCCCAAGCTTCACGTAAAAGATCTTTAATTAAAGACAGAGACTCATACGAACGAACCGAGAAGCGAAATGAGTCCAATCTGAACCGAGTCCGGATCACGCGTGGAATTTGTCCTTTTTAGTTTTGGGATTAAACTGGTTAAAGCCGAAATGTTTCAGAGTCACAAAGATCCAGAAAGATCCAGAAAGATCCGCTTCGTCTAAAGAATCTTGTCAAACTATCAAGAAAAACACAGAAAATATAAAATCTAAGACTCAGATCAGCTGAATGACGCAGAGGACGTGATTAAAACACATGTTGTTGTGTTGTTGTTGTGTCGTTATTGTATCGTTGTTGTGTTGTTGTTGTGTTGTCGTGTCGTTGTTGTGTTGTTGTTGTGTTGTTGTTGTGTTGTTGATGACAGCTGCAGGGCATCTGGCTTTATTTAACATTCCTGCAGTTGTGAAGTTCCTTCGCTTTGAGCGCGAGCACAGATCGTGTGTTTGTGGATTATTTATAATGTTCTGTACAGAGACACTGGAGCCGAACTCGCCTCTGGAGCCACCGGAACCAGAACCTGTATCAAAAATGACCCGAAACACACGCGCGCGCCCGTCACGTCGCGGTTCGTGCACAATTTGAGGATTTGTGAACGCGGATTCCGGAGTGCGCACTATCCTGCTCTTCCCAGCAGAACCGAACCGGACCGGGCCGAGGACAGACCCGGGACAAACCGGACCAGAGGAGGACCGGAGACAGAACAGGACAGACCCGGGACAGACCCGGGAGAGACCCGGGAGAGACCCGGGAGAGAGGAGAGGGGACAGCGGGTCCGGGTCCGGGGAGGTTCGGGGAGGTTGTACTCACGGCGGTGGTCGGTGCAGGCCGGTACCGGAGGATCAGAACCAGGACACGTTCATCCGTGACACGAGCCACAGGTCTGCGCGGTCACGTGACACAGGACTGAGCGCGGTCACGTGACTCCTCGGGGGTGACGTCATCAGGGTTTCCAATGTGCGGGTCGCGCGCGCACGGCACGAGCCCAAATGAGCCTCACAGTGACGTCATGACACGAAACCAAACGGCCCAAAATAAACCAAACAGTAAAACAAACGTCACCGCAAAAATAAATAAACAAATAAACAATAAAATCAAATAAACACACACACTATACACACTATACACACACACTATACACACACTATACACACACTACACACACACTATACACACACACATACACACTATACACACACACACTATACACACTATACACACACACTATACACACACTATACACACACACACACACACACATACACACTATACACACACACACACACTATACACACACTACACACACACTATACACACACACATACACACTATACACACTACACACACTATACACACACTACACACACACTATACACACACACATACACACTATACACACACACATACACACTATACACACACTACACACACTATACACACACACTATAAACACTGTGTGTTGTGTATAGTGTGTGTTGTGTGTGTATAGTTTGTGTGTGTGTGTGTGTAGTGTGTGTATAGTTTGTGTGTAGTGTGTGTGTATAGTTTGTGTGTAGTGTGTGTGTATAGTGTGTGTAGTGTGTGTTTAGTGTGTGTATGTGTTGTGTGTGTGTGTGTGTATAGTGTGTGTGTGTGTGTGTGTGTATAGTGTGTGTAGTGTGTGTGTATAGTGTGTGTATAGTGTGTGTTGTGTGTGTATAGTTTGTGTGTGTGTGTGTGTAGTGTGTGTATAGTTTGTGTGTAGTGTGTGTGTGTGTGTGTGTGTATGTGTGTGTGTGTGTAGTGTGTGTGTGTGTGTATAGTGTGTGTGTAGTGTGTGTGTATAGTGTGTGTAGTGTGTGTGTGTATGTGTGTGTATAGTGTGTGTATAGTGTGTGTGTGTATAGTGTGTGTATAGTGTGTGTATAGTGTGTGTATAGTGTGTGTATAGTGTGTGTGTGTATAGTGTGTGTATAGTGTGTGTGTAGTGTGTGTATAGTGTGTGTATAGTGTGTGTAGTGTGTGTAGTGTGTGTATAGTGTGTGTATGTGTGTGTGTGTATAGTGTGTGTAGTGTGTGTGTGTATAGTGTGTGTATAGTGTGTGTATGTGTGTACAGTGTGTGTATAGTGTGTGTGGGTATAGTGTGTGTATAGTGTGTATAGTGTGTGTGTGTGTAGTGTGTGTGTGTATAGGTGTGTATAGTGTGTGTGTGTAGTGTGTGTATAGTGTGTGTATAGTGTGTGTGTGTGTATAGTGTGTGTAGTGTGTGTGTATAGTGTGTGTGTATAGTGTGTGTATAGTGTGTGTGTGTGTGTGTAGTGTGTGTATAGTGTGTGTGTGTGTAGTGTGTATAGTGTGTGTATAGTTTGTGTGCAGGGGGCAGATGGAGTCAGAGTTTTCTTAGATTATGTCACATTTATTTAGAATCCTGAGACATTATAAAGTATTTTTATTATTATTTATTTTTGTGATGATTATTTATTTGTATTTTTATTTGTATCAGAATAAACCCTGAACCCTGAGACTCTCAAATATAAAAACTTTGTCCAAAATAGAATCTATGCAAAAAAACAAAAACAAAACACCTGAGCGACCAATCAGAGCAGAGCAGAGCTGTGAGGTCATCAAAGAGGGGCGGGACCAAGAATAAACCAGGACCAGGACCAGACCAGGACCAGACCAGGACCAGACCGGACTCAAACCTGCACAAAAACGGTGTGTGTTGTTTGTGTTTGGTTTGTGTTGTTTT